CAGCTTTATCCATGACCCTGGAAGCTCTGCAGAACCTTCCCTGCAGCTCTGTCCCTGCCATTCACGAGCTGTCTCCAGCCTCCACCTCCACCAGCAAGAAGCTATTTGAAAGCCTAGCTTTCAGGCAGGTACCTCAGAGTCAGACTCTGCTTTTCTGCCCATTCCCTGCACTTGCAGCCCTAGTTGGGCTCCCCATCTGGCTTTTAATCTCTCCTTCACGTGCTCCCTGTTGGATCGCTCTCAGCTTCATGGTCTCTTACCTTCAAAACAATCCAGACCCCAAAGGTCTTGGCCCACATTGTGTGTATGGAGTTCCCACTAGGCCAGGAGTTGAGTTCAGACTCCCCAAATTAACTATATTTCTTCATACATGCCAGTGTTACGTTTCAGCCAACAGGACTTGGGCCTGTGGTGACCCACATCTACAGAGCAACAATCCTTTTGTAACCATTGATCCTTGATCCAGCTCATCTACCCTCATGACTTTATATTAGCCCTGACCTCTTTCTGTTTTCTTGACCTATAACTTGTATTATCCTTAGTACATCTTTTGGATTTTCTGCTCTCAGAGAAAGTTTATTTATTGGCTCGTTAATTCATCTAGCAGGCACATGTTGAACACTTAACAGTTGGCACTACAACTAGTCAGAGGCTAGTCAGGGAGTTAGACAAAATCAAGGGCTACGTCAATTAGTACACTTTTTATTACTAGTGACAGAAGTCCTGATTCATGCTGTCTTAAGTAAAAATGGAATGTATTCCCTCACATACCTGGCAAGTCTAGAGATAGATCTGGTTTCCTTCAGGCACAGCTGGATTCATGGATCATAAATGCTACCTTTGGGACCTGGCCTGTCTTCATCTCTCAGTTCTGCTCTGTTCTGCTTTGTGATGGCTTCATTCTCAGGGTAGCAAGAGAAGTGTTAACAGTGCCAGGCCTACATCCTCCAAGGTTTTCGTATAGCAGAAAAGTCACTGCTCTCTCAGCAGCCCCAACAAATGTCCCGCTCCATCTTGTGGTTTTCTCACTGGATTAGGTGCTCTTCCCTGAACAAGTGACTTCTGTCAGGGGAATTTGATGCCAGGACTGGTCAGACTGGAGTCATATGTCCTCTCCTTATAGTTGGTTATGGAGTCTACCCAAGCACTTAAGTTGAGAGAGAGAGAGAGAAATACAGTACAATGGTTCCCTGAAGAAAAGGCAAGTGGATGTGGGATGATTTTCTAAAAAGCTGTCAGTTACAGATGAATGGATAAAGAAGGTGTGGTTTATATATACAATGGAATACTACTTGGCGATGAGAAAGAATGAAATCTGGCCATTTGCAGCACCGTGATGGAACTGGAGGGTATTATGCTAAGTGAAATAAGTCAAGCAGAGAAAGACAGATACCATATGTTTTCACTCATATGTAGATCCTGAGAAACTTAACAGAAGACAATGGGGGAGGGGAAGAGAGGAAAAAAAGTTACAGAGAGAGAAGGAGGCAAACCTTAAGAGACTCTTAAATACTGAGAACAAACTGAGGGTTGATGGGAGATGGGGGAGAGGGGAAAGTGGGTGATGGGCATTGAGGAGGGCACCTGTTGGGATGAACACTGAGTGTTGTATGGAAACCAACTTAACAATAAATTATATTTAATATAAAAAAAGCTGTCAGTTACAGCCTTTATGTTTATGGTAAGTGTGTATGATAGAGTTACAAATGGAGTTGAGTGTAGCAAACGGAGCATTCCACTCTATATACAATGGGCAAAGGATTCCCCCCCCCTTTACCCCTTCACTCCTTCCTTTGAGCAAAATTTAGTGAGTGCCTTTTGTTGTTCCAGGTGTAGAACATAGATGGTCCTAGAAGTTGCCCATGAGGAGCTTACAAAGTAGAAAGGAGGAAAGACAATAAAAGCAATGCCCCCATATTTCTTGAGAATGTCCATTTTAAGAAATAGAAATATGAAGAGTATTTCTGTGTTTTTTTAAAAAGACAAGATCAACCATTATATTGTTTAACATCTTTTTTACTTAAAATTCTGTTTTGTTCAATGCTTGGAATAAGTCTTTCTGATATGCTTCGTTAAACAGTGGAAACTCCACAGTCCACAGTTTTTTAATTGTCTTGCCTAGGCTTCTGTAAAATGCAGGGTCAAAACCTGTGCTTAATTAAAAGTAGCTTTCCTTCGCCAAAGTTTTCCTCAAGATGAATTTGCCATTTTTAAAATTTTTTTTTAATGTTTATTTATTTCTGAGACAGAGAGACAGAGCATGAGTGGGGGAGGGGCAGAGAGAGAGGGAGACACAGAATCCAAAGTAGGCTACAGGCTCCGAGCTGTCAGCACAGAGACTGATGCGGGGCTCGAACTCACAGACCGCAAGTTCATGACCTGAGCCGAAGTCGGATGCTTAACCAACTGAGCCACCCAGGTGCCCCATGCCATTTTTTTAAGTACTTGATTTATGGTTTTGTGGTTTTATCGTATCGAGGACTTCGATAGTAAGGTGCCTCAAAATAGAAATAGAGCACAGAGATAAACAAATGAATACCTTTAATTTCTACTTTTAGCTTAACAATCTCTATTTCTGATCTGTAGCAGGTTGTTAATGCATCTCCCACCAATGGCCAGTCATTTCCCTGCCTGTATACAGACATTTCCATCAGAACATTCACAGTTTGTATGTTCAGGTAGTGAAATGAACACACATGGATATGTACATTTGTTTCAAAGGCAACGAACGTGAAAATATTTTTGTGACATTGAAGACCCAACAAGCAATCTTTACATTATTTTTTAGCTGTAGGTTTTATTTTGTTCAGTTCCATGGAAAAAAAGATTGAGAAATGCAACACAAATAAGCCAAGGATCAGGGAATACATTAATGCAGTGGTTCTCAACTAGAGACATTTGGCAATGCCTGGAGACATTCTTAATTGTCTTGCCTACTGGAATCTTGTGGGTAGAGGCCAGGGGTGCTGTTAAACATCCTACAATGTGCAGGACAGGCCACCACAATGAAAAATTATCCTGTCCAAAATGTCAGTAATGCCACTGTTGAGAAACCTTGCATCAATAGGATTTTTAGAATTCTGAACTCTGAAAGGATTCAGAACAATCTTGTAATTTAGGCATAAGACAAAACTAGAGGCGAATTAGAGTCATAGAATTAGAAGAATCCTGGAGCTGACAGGGAAAGTCATTGAGTCCACTCTCCCTGTACATATGGTAACCGAGTCCCAGGTAAAAAGTGACTGAAGCAGTAGACGTCCTCCACTCCTCAACATGCGATCAGGCAACTTGCCAAATCTCTCTGTGCCTCAGTTTCCTATTCTGCAAAAAGGGACAATAAAACTTGCCTCAAATGATTGCTGTGAGGAGTAATTAAAATAATGTGTGTGGACTGTTTAGTACAGTACCTGGCCACAGTGAGTTGTTGATAAAGAGTGGCAGTGAGAGCCTAGGTGGTGATTCTCGTTACTGTCCTAACAGTAAAGAGACAGTAATTGAACCCTGTTCAGTTCAACACTGTTGAACAGGGTTGTACCCTGTTCCCGACTCTCAGTCCCATGTTCTTCCTATTACAGTGTCTTCAGGGTCTGTGAAGAAAAAGTTATAAGGGCAACTCAATAGGGATCAAAGAAGATTGGTCTGGAGAGCAGCTTAGTAGCTGGTAATTCAAGAAAAACTAAACAAAAACTCTTCATAAAGACAGGGGGTAGGTAGGTAGCCACTTTAAGGAAGGCATAAAAAAGATTGGTTCCCACCTGAAACAGGCTACCTTCTCTCTTCCCAAAGTCCTGTGGATGGTGTGTCAGGTGGGCTTGCCTCCAGGAAGGGCGGAGCCTAGATCAGATAACTTATCAAACCCTGAGAGCCCTGACCGAGTCTTACAGCCCTGGCAGAATGTCCGTCCAGTCCATCGTCTATCGGGACAGTCTCTGAAATGCCGAGATGGTCAGACAGTATATCTGGAGACACTTTCAACTCTAAGATTCTCTGATGTCTGATAAGTTTTGTGGACTATGTGCTGGAAAGATCATGTGACATGGTAGATAATGCCCACCAGGCACGTGTAGACAGCCACAAATCTTCTGTTTTATGATTTGTGGAGTAAAAAAAAAATGCTTTATTAGGCTTTGCTAAGTAAATACGGGCACATGATTACAATGCTGTGCAAAACAATTTTTCTCAGAAAATAATAATAAATTATCTTACTGACAATTCCATGAAATAGGCTTCCTCTCATTTTCCTAAAAGTCTTCTAAAAAGTCTTTGCAGTTGCTCTAGGAGTTGGATTTCTGTTTCTCTTGTTACTTTTGCCAAATAACAATTGTTATTTCTAAATTGTTTTTAACCGGTGGCTTTTTATAAAAATTAGCAAAATTCAAAAGCATCAAAATCTCTGGACCACAAACACAGATTAAATTCTCGTGGGGGGAAAAAAAACCTCATTCATTTAGTAGCCTTCTCTCAAATATCCCCTTTGTTGGCCTGGACTCCTAAAATGGTTATATATACCCCACAAAAATACCCTACATAGTCATTTAAAGACATTTTCTTCTACATCTTACATGTCAATGCTCCAACCGTTATAAAGATTATTTTAGAAAATCAACAAGAACAAGTTGGTACATGAGAAAATAGTGACTCGTAGCTGACTTTATCTGTCTTCTGTGTATTTGTGTGACCCGCAAGCAATTGGAGAAGAGCAACACAACACAGTGGATCCTGGCTGAGCATCAGGCACTGTGCTAGACACCCTGTGGTAGCAGAGAAGTTAAGTTGTTTGCCTGGAGCCACACAGCTGGTAAGCAGGAGAGCCAGCACGGAGCCCTGTCTACTCCTATGTGCATGGGGTTTGCTGCACACTAGATCTTGATAAGGAATAATTCAAGGCTTAGAATAATAAAAAGTCTCCTCTAAGATGTGACTGTTTTTAACTTTAAATGCCTCATTTAGATTAGTATTCTGTATGTTAATTTGACCTTCAACTTTTTTTTTTTTTTAAGGTGTTGTGTAATGGACCAGGAACGTGTGTTCCTGTCTGCGTATCTGCCCTTCTCCTTGGGATACTAGGAATAAAGAAAGTGATCATTGTCTATGTTGAAAGCATCTGCCGAGTAGAACATTTATCCCTGTCCGGAAAGATTCTGTTTCACCTCTCCGATTACTTCATTGTTCAGTGGCCGGCTCTTAAGGAGAAGTATCCCAAGTCGGTGTACCTCGGGCGAATTGTCTGACAAATGACAACTTTCTTCTCTAGAATTTTGCAGTCAAACATATTTATCATAATTGGGGGAGAGAAAAACTACATGTTTATTATAAAGGTTTCTGAAGGTCCTGAGAATTATTGGTGGTGAGGAGTAAAAAATGTGTAACTCAGTAAAGAAACTGAGGGTGCTCTTATAAAACAAACGTTTATAAATCATTAAGTATTTATGCTTCTGGGCACCAAATTTCTTTTCTTTTCTGTCACTACCTGCAAGTTATCTGCTGACTTGACTTAGTAATATTTTTCCTACAACTAAATATAGAATTAGTATGATTAGTAACATTTCCTGTTCTGCAGCTCTTTGTTTTGTTTTGTTTTGTTTACAATATTCTGCATTGTAGCAGAGAAAGATATTTCTTAGTTTTTGTTCAGATACAACAGGCTTTATTTCCTGTATGGAAGCAGTAAAGTCCCTAGTGAATCCTTTCAGTATAAAGGAAGCAGTTATATTAAATGGGCTTCATGACAATTTGCATTCCACAGGCTTCCAGAACCGTGAGCATACACCAGTACCTTTTTTTATTCTTTGGTTTTGCTTTGTGAGTAGTTGCCCTGAATCCAGAATATCTTTTGAAATGTCTTGTTTAATTGTTAAAATAAATTAAAAGGTGACTACTGTCATAGTAATAAAAACATGATTCTATGTTTCAGGAATCCAAACTCAAAACATTTTTTTCCTTTGTATTTTGTATTTGTTTATGTTAAGTTTATTTATCTATTTAGAATGTGTGTGCAAGCACATGAGTAGGGAAGGGGCGGGGTGGGGGTAGAGAATGAGAGAATCCAAAGCAAGCTTTACACCGTCATCCCAGAGCCCAATAAGGGTTTTGAACTCATGAACTGTGAGATCATGACTGGAGCCGAAATCAAGAGTCGGACACTAAACTGAACCACCCAACCCCTGAAACTCAAAAACATTTTTACAAATGTTCAAGTGGAGGGGTGCCTGGGTGGCTCAGTCGGTTAAGCGTCCGACTTCGGCTCAGGTCATGATCTCGCGGTTCATGAGTTCGAGCCCTGCGTCAGGCTCTGTGCTGACAGCTCAGAGCCTGGAGCCTGCTTCGGATTCTGTGTCTCCCTCTCTCTCTGCCCCTCCCCCACTTGTGCTCTGTCTCTATCAAAAATAAATAAATGTAAAAAAAAAAATTTTTTTTTAATGTTCAATTGGGACCCCCTGGGTGGCTCACTTAGTTAAACGTCTGACTCTTGATCTCAGCTCAGGTCTTGATTTCAGGGTTGTGAGTTCAAGCCCCACATTGGGCTACATGCTGGGCATAGAGCCTACTTAAAAGAAAAAAAAAATGCTTTAGTAAACTCACATTGTCATGGCTGTAACCGTCCCTGGCATTTTGGGATGTTTAGGCTTGGCAGAGTATATTTAAAAAAAAATTTTTTGTTTAACGTTTATTTATTATTGAGAGACACAGAGCATGAGCAGGGGAGGGGTCGAGAGATGGAGAGACACAGAATCTGAAGCAGGCTCCAGGCTCTGAGCTGTTGCAGAGCCCGACGCGGGGCTCAAACTCACAAACCGCAAATCCATGACCTGAGCTGAAGTCGGACGCTTAACCGACTAAGCCACCCAGGCACCCCTTGGCAGAGTGTAGTTTTACTAAGCATTTAGGTAAGTTCTTGCTGGCCAGGTATTCTTCTAAGCACTTGTCAAATATTAACTCATTTAATCCTAATAACAACTCAATGAGGTAGGGACTATTACTATCCCCCTTTTACAGGTGACTTGTCTAAAATCACATGACCAGAGGGGCGCCTGGGTGGCTCTGTCGGTTGGGTGTCTGACTTCGGCTCAGGTCATGATCTCGCGGTCCGTGAGTTCGAGCCCTGCGTCGGGCTCTGTGCTGACAGCTCAGAGCCTGGAGCCTGTTTCAGATTCTGTGTCTCCCTCTCTGACCCTCCCCTGTTCATGCTCTGTCTCTCTCTGTCTCAAAAATGAATAAACGTTAAAAAAAATAAAATAAAATAAAGTAAAATCACATGACCAGATTCAAGCCTAGGGCAGCCTAGCTTGAGAGCAAAGCCAGTTTCATGGGCATGTGGCCTGTGCAGCCACATAGGGACCCACACTCAGGAGGGCCCTGCACTTGGGTTAGTACTCTGCTGTCACTCTCAAATGCATATGGGACAAAGGACCCATGTTTTATTTTGCACTGGACACCACCAGTTATTTAGTTGGTCCTGCTTGAGAATCTGTGACAACACGCAGCACAGAGCCTGGCCTGGTGGCTCCTCAGCGAACAGACATTCCATTCCCCCTTCAAGCTCTCGCCTTTAACAAGGCAACAGACAGTGAGAAGAGCTCGTGTAGTGTTCGAGTTTTTATTTTTCCCTTTTAAATCTGCTTAATAAGGATGATGTAAACCTAATAAGGAAATTAATGAAGAGATCGACTGTCAGTGAAAATAGGCATGAGTACCTGAGATGCCATGAAATTAAAATGCTGAGGCTGATCCAGCCTTTACTGTTCTCTCGGAACATCTCTGGGTAAAGTAGGAGCGTCTGTCATCAGGACATTTTCCTAGGTGTTTGGCTGAGAAAACTCTCAGAATAAGGATGGTATTTTGCCACAGGTCAGCCTAGTGGTAGTTCATTGTGTGCCTTGACTTTACTCATCAAATCTCAGGTGCTGTCCCTGCTTCCATTGATGGAAAGGCCTAGAATGTCAGATGAAATAAGCCTCTACTTTTCTAGACAGAAAGTGATCTTTTTAGGGATAATAGCATGTATATTTCTTCACCTTTGAATTTTTTTTCTGCACTTTGTTTAAGTGGCCCTAGGTAAATAAGTGAAATTGGACCGTTTTCAGGTCAGTTAATGCCTGTCAGTGTGCCATTGCAGCTTCCCCTGGGTCCCCACAGGTAATCCTGCTGCAGAGAATCCCGTCAGGCCATGGAGAGTTGTAGAAAAGATGCCATAATTTTTTCCAGCATTGTATGTCCCAGATGTTTTGCAGAGCCTTAACCTAGACCGTGGTTAGCCTGGAATGTCAGAGAAAGAATCTCGTGTGTGTGTTATCACTAAAAATTTAGGAAAATCTTCCTGGGTTCTGACTACTGTGGACACATTCAGAGTGAGGTTGGCTCGGCTCCAGATTACATGGTCTGGTGTGTGTTGTGTTGGTGTTATGGCTAACTCAGGTCCTCAAGGTCACGTTTGCAAAGGGGCCTGGTTTGAGATGATAGTGGGGGCACAGCTTCCTTGCTGTGTCTTTCTGTGACATTAAAAAACAGTGCTGTAGTCTCGACTCAAACTGAGGATCAGGACCTAGCTTGTCTTTTCTGATTTCTCTTGAAACACTCTGGAATGTACCTCTTACTGGAAGAGACTGTTCATGAAAAATTAATTGCATCAGTGTTTAAATGAGAGACAAGGAAACCACACATCCTGCCCACACCTACTTCCCTGGAAGATTTTTATCTACAGTTCAGTTGTCCTAAAGGGTCTCAGCAGTTTGCCAGGGCAGAAAGTCTGACTGTTTCAAATAGGACATCCAAAAGTCATCACAGAAAGCTTTAGCCAGGAACTTAGAGTGCTGTGAAACCGTGTCAACAAGAGGAATGTTGTGCCATTTTAGACTGAAGAGCAAGACTGCTAGGAAGGAGATGACCCTCGCTTTCCCTCATAAAAGCAACTTAAAACATGGTGTTTATTTGGCCTTCCAAAGATAGATTCAAACTGGGAAATGTACTACCCCCTTACTGTGCAGTTCCTTAGATTGAATCAGTGCTTTATTTCTTCTGAAAAGCCCCATCTCACCAAAAGGAGTTTGACAGCAATGTATTAAGCCTCTTTTATCCACAATAAGAACATCTTTGTGAGTGTTAAAGAATACTGTCCTCGTCCATACAGTTCAGTATTTGGGGCCAGGTGGAGTTTCTTCCCCATGATTTTCAGCTCTGTCCAGCAGTGAGCAGACACCCAGATTTTCTTGTCTGCCCTGAACTTTCTTCTGTTCAGCCTGTCACTCTAGCACTCTAAAGACAAATTATCTACACTTATGTTCTTGCTGCCAACTCACTTTATTTTTTTTAACATTTATTTATTTTGAGAGAGAGTGTGTGTGTGTGTGCATGTGGGAGTATGAGCAGGGGAGGGGCAGAGAGAGGGAGAGAAAGAATCCCAAGCAGATTCTGCACTGTGTGCAGAGCCCGAGGTGGGACTCAATCTCATGAGATGACCTGAGCCAGAACCAACTGAGCCACCCAGGTGCC